TTGATAATTATTAGAAGTTAAAGGCAAATGCCGAACTGAAGAATATGGTTTTCCATTCAAGCAAGAGAGTAAATAATCGAATTTTTCAATATTAGATAAATGAGGTTTTTCATGAACTAAATTATTAAAATGGTCTATAAATGAGCGAAAATTTCTATAATCGCCACTAAATTTCTTTAATTCAATCACCGGCAAACGAATATGAGATGAATTTGGATCTATATGAAAAAGTGTAGAATTATGCAAAGCAGTATTTTGATTAGCGTTTACTGGTTGAGTATCAGATTCAAATAATTCCGAAAATAATGCTTTAATCTTATAAAATTCTTCTAAAAACATTTCTTTGGTAGCATCTTCGCCCCCAGCATCTTCAGGGATAGCAAACAATGTGGCAAGAACATTATTATGATGTTTAAAAAAATCCTCTTTAAGACTATCAATATCTGCGCACCTTACTTTAAAGACATTTTTGAATGATTTATTACTATTCGCTTTATCAGCGAGCATACTAATTACGTTTATTTCATTTAAGCAAGAAGTTCTTAAAGTTTTATATTTAACAAGTTTTTCAACCATTGTAATAAATTAAATAAATCGAATCGCAAGCAAAACAAAATTAAAACCAAATTTATTTGTATCAGCTGATCAAAAGGCAATATTAATGTAGCGGCAGCGGTATCAAGCTCACCTCGATACGAAACACGGCGAAAAGGCGGGCGATTTTTCACAAATTTCAAAAATAACGAAATATACGGTAGCGGAGTAAACGACAAAGCGGTGATTGATAAACAGAGCGACAATTAGCGAAAAGGCGATAATAATAATAAATGAAGGCCACTTGAAGGCCGATTGATTGGAACCTGTGTACACTACCGATGTCGAACAACTTGAGCACGACTCGACTAAAAAAATGACCAATATGTCTACCTGATAAATTTTACAATTAACTCAATAAATTTAATACTTATTGAAATAATATTGTATGCAAACTAAATGATTTTTTTTTAGTAAGAACTGATTAATTTTAGCAGATATGCTATAATTTTGAATAGCGCTTTTGATAATTTAAAAAATAAAGAAAATTTTAAATCGAATTTTTCGCAAAAAAAAAAATCCCACAGTTATAATAATGCAACAATTTAATTCTAACTGTTATTAAAGTACTCGAAGGACCAAAAAAATGTAATAGAATGATTGGAATATTACGTAAAAAAGGGGCTGATTGTAACAGTCGAAAAAAAATAAGATAAACGTGTCTCAAACGCGCTTACCTTCTGTGCTGCATCATATGGTTCGTCGGATGAAGTAGGTGATAGTATTAGTCCAGTAGCCAAGACCGGGCCCGGTTACACAATTTATATAACAACGTTTATTATACAGGATTTATAATAGCGGATTTAACGGCACATACACACCACAAAGCGTTCGTCGCGGCAATTTCTGTAGTACTCTTCGTCCAACGGCGTTTCACTTGTCTTACAGTCAGACGAAGCGCATGTGTGGGCCAAAGTTTTAAGTAAGCGATTTGAGACAAAGCGCGAATATTTAAATAATAAAATAGGAATTAATTCATTCTGGAACAATAGTATTTGAGTATAAATTAATTAATTAGTTTATTCAGTGTAAATAAATTCGAATAATAAACTGTTTAAATGTTAGATACAGTAATATTTGAAATTAGGAATTTTTATTGTTAAATCATTAAAAAAATTGAAATTTTCTGTCATGGAGTTTATTAAATATAAATCATGATAGATACTAACCATCGGCTTCTTTTTGTCCCTGCAACTGTTAATAACTCCTTCAATAACATTAAACGTACTATTGTGTCGACCTAATCCAGGTCCAATGAGAATTACATGCAACCTATCTAACCATGGTTCAATTTTTGTTAATGCTTCCGAATCGTCTAGAACTGGTAATACTATGAGCTCAGGACTGTAAGACTTAATTACAGTAGCTGCGTCTTTATTGCAGAATACATAAGCCAAATCGGCTCCAACTTTGAGTGTACTTATCGATGAAAAATAAGGGGCACCTAAAAAAAAATAACAAATAATTTAAAAAAATATACAGGGTGGCGCATCCTATACGTGTCGGTCTCTGTAGGGAAAACGACTAAAAATTTGATTTTTTTTTAATAGGGATATACAGGGCCATTAACACTACAAATTAAAAATAATTTAAATTATACAGGGTGACCCAAAAATAGGAATTTATATCAAAGTTATGTATTTTTAAAGGGAACACCCTATGTCTTTTGATTCCCCGGAAAAAATGTTTCCTATACCTATTTCTTTTCGTATTTGAAACATTTAAAGGATCCTTAATTTGTAAGCTTGAACAACATAACCTAGTATGTCGCGGTTATTTAAAAAACATCAACAGTCACCTGCGATATGCGTAGCCAAGATAATAGACTATCGAATAAAATGAAAATTTTTCCATTACATCATACATTTAGTCTAATTGAATTCGACTTACATATAGAGTTGAATAAGATTCCTATTTTAAATGGGAGACCCTCTATTTAATAACATAAAATGATAGACATTTAAATTATCCTTCAGTCCATATAAGATTTCCCTACACCTAAATTCGATGGATCTTTAGTAAATAGCTGTTTTTTATTTTTAACATACGGATTTTATATTATTTTTTAATCATAATAACCATAGAAGCAAATATCTCTTAAAATATGGTATTGAACGAAATAATAGTATATTATTAAACGAGCAATAATGGGCATAAATTGCAAGTCTAATACTATACTTTGTCCACGACCATTATAATTTAAGTGTAGAATGGAAAGTTTTTATTGAACATAGGTAACTAACTGTTGTTTTTTCAACTTTTCAATTTTCCGATTTTCCAATTTTTCGATTTTCTAATGTTTCGATTTTTGATTTTTCGACTTTTCAATTTACCGATTTTCCAATTTTTCGAATTTCTGATTTTTCGATTTTTTGTTTTTTAGATTTTTCAATTTTTAGATTTTTCAATTTTTCGATTTTTCGATTTTTCAATTTTTCAATTTTTCAATTTTTCAATTTTTCAATTTTTCAATTTTTCAATTTTTCAATTTTTCAATTTTTCAATTTTTCAATTTTTCAATTTTTCAATTTTTCAATTTTTCGATTTTTCGATTTTTCGATTTGTTTTCAATCTATTTGTTTTTCGTATTTCCTCTAAAATAGACTACTTGATTATCTTTGAAAAATCAAAAATAATCGATTAATTAAAAAGCCAATTAACCGATAAATCAGCGTTTACAAAAAATTATCCTTTATTTTAAATAATCGATTATTTTCAAATAATCCATTTTTTTTCGTCCATTGAAACAGATTATTTGATAATCTTTGAAAAATCGAAAATAATCGATTAATTAAAAAGTCGATTAACTGATAAATCGATTTTCAAAAAAAAAAAACCGAATTGTCAATTATTTTAAATAATCGATTATTTTCGATCAATCGATTATTATCAATAATTTATTTTTATTGTATTTCATTTAAAATCGATAATTCGATTATCATTGAAATACCGATAATAATCGATTAATTAAGAAGCCGATTCTACGATAAATCTATTTTCCAAAAAAATAACCGAATTATCGATTATTTTCTAATAATCCTTTTCATATTTCCTTTAAAATTGATTATTCTATTATCTTTGAAAAATCTAAAATAATCGATAAAAATCAATAAATCAAAAATAATTAATAAATATTAAAAACTGATTTACCGATAAATCGATATTTCTAAAAAATAACCGAAATACTTATTGGTTATATAAAATAACGAATTATATTCGATCAATCAATTATTTTCATATAATACCTTTGAAAATTTGAAAATAATCGATTAATCGAAAATAATCGATTAATTAAAACACCGATTAAACGTTTTCCAAAAAATCGATTATTTTCAATTAATCGATTATTTTGAATAAATCTACTTCCTTTTTGTATTTCCTTTAAAATCGATTATTACATTATCTTGAAATTTTAAGTTATTCATCCTGTATTTTATCTAATATTCTTATAAAAATACTACTAATCAACTATGCTTCTTTACTTCTTATTTATCTATCAAAAAAAACAAAAAACCACCTTTAGTAAATATTCTTATAAAACTACTTTTTAAAAACAAAATTTCGTTAGCAACAATGTCTATTTACTTCTTATTTAAATTAAATATTTAAAATTTTACCCTTTTGTAAATTTATGTAAGTAATACGAAATCTGTTTTCTGAAATGTATTTGATGAATATTTATTGAAATCCCTTAATGCGGATCTGATGTATTCAGCTCAAAGGATTATGGCGCTTTATGTCAAAACGTTAATAAATATTTACCGCTGAAAACGAATATATTTTTTATATTTCATAACACTGGGTACTTGTATTATAAGTATATACAATTTCTTAAGATACATCGTGGCAATTTGAGTTTAAACTAGAACACTTTAAATTGCTAAAACACCAACAAATAAATCAAAAACAGCTGTCAATGGTGATTTAAACTCAGGCGGAGGTGAGCGTTGAATGGGAAATCGGAGCAATTCGGGTGGCGTCGTGCAAACAATGATTTTCAATTGGTGGGTTACTTGGAGTTAAAACAGACAACATGCAGTGTTGTGCTTGCTATTACAATTGTAATAAATCTATTACTAAAAAATTTTTTTGTTACGCTATTACGACTTTACAATTTTAACACAAAATCTATTACCTTTTATTATGGAATAATTTACCAGTATCGCCATCTATCAGTCGAAAGCGTAAGTATGAATTAACTAAAATTTTATGGTCCAGAGTTCTTCCCGATGTATTATTTTCCGAAAATTGCCAAGGGCAAGAAGTGCGTAAGTTACACTAGAGATGTCGCGTTGATTAGACGAAGGCATTTGTTTTATTTCTGTAAGTCCTTTGTGTAAATCCCAAGAATTGTGATTTTTTTTGTATTTTGTAAGAAAAAACTAGTGATTAGTACTGGTATTATAATGGACAAGTAAGTATTATTATTATTATTATTATTATTATTTTTTCCACTTTGTACGCATTTAATTAGGTTTTACTAATTCCGGATCTTACTACAGATTTCTAGTAAAATCAAATAAGACAAAGAGAAGAGTTGATGATGAGGAAATACAAAATATTCCTTCAACGTCTAGTTCTTCTGTTAAAGTTCAGTCAAGTGAAGAAAATTCTGACAGTAGTCACGAAAGTACTACAATAAAAAAAAAGAAAAAGGCATATAAGCAAAAGTACACTGATAAATGGGGAGAAACTGACCCGACAACAAGTGAATGGCTTGTAAAATCAAAAAAGCAAATGATGTGCAAAGTGTGCAACAAAGAACTTACAGGTGGAATAACTCACATAAAAAGACATAGTGCTACACAACTTCATCTCAGAAATATTAATGCATCACGAAAAAGCAAAAAAATAACGGATATTATTGTCCCTGATAAAACAAGACAATTAAACCGTAATATACAAATGGGTGAGATGAAATTAGTTATGTTCATTGCGGAACATAACTTATCTTTTCAAACCTTAGATCATTTAACAAAATTAATTGGTTCAGTTTGTCCTGATTCTGAAATTGCAAAAAAATTAGTATGTGGGAGAAAGAAAGGTACCAATATGTGTCTTAATAGAACTGGTCCTTTTAACTTAAAGCAAATAGTGTCAAATTTGCAAAATAGTTACTACTCATTAATTATTGATGAGACTACCGATATAAGCACATTAAAATGTTTGGCGGTAATTGCTAGATACTTCTGGAAGAACACTGTGCACGATAATTTTATAGGACTGATTGAAGTAAATCAGTCAACATCTGAAGCATTATTTAATGCTGTAACAGAATTGCTTTCAGAGTATAAAATACCATTTAAGAACATGGTAGGGTTTGCAGCAGATAACTGCTCAGTAATGATGGGTGATAAGACAGGCGTAAAGGCTCGACTGCAAGAAAAAATCCGAATATTTTTATATTAGGGTGTACTTGTCACTCATTTCACTTAGCAGCTTCGGCTGCATGCTGCAAATTACCCAATTATATAGAAAAATTTTCCAGAGATATTTACAATTATTTTGCTCAAAGTTCAAAAAGACTTGGAATTTTAAAAGAATGTCAAATTTTTGCTAACATCGAACCACACAAGATTTTAAAATTAAGCCAGACCAGGTGGTTATCTCTAGAAACAGTAGTTAACAGATTAGTAGAGCAATGGCCTGCCTTAATTTTGTATTTTACAGATGCTATGGTAAGTGACAAAACTACCACATTTGATATAGACGCCATTTTAAAAGCATTAAATGATAAAGTTTTTAAATTATATTTTTATTTTTTAGCTTACATATTAAAAATAATAAATAAAATGAATATTGAGTTTCAGAGCGAGTCGCCAAAAATTTTTAAGTTACAAGATCGGCTAACATCAACATACCAAACCATATTAAAAAATTTCATTAAACTTGAAGTTGTTAATGATCCTCGATATTCTAAAAATGTGACCTTAATAAACACTTCAAATCCAAATAATTTTAAAAAAATTGAAGACATATACAGTGTGTCTGAAAAAGTTGGCAACAAATGGGAAACTTTTTTATTATTAAGTTTAGGAAAAAACGTCATTCTTCATAAAAAGTTCTGCAAGGCCTAAAACCCAATATACGATAATCAGATATCGAAATTTTCCAATCGTATACGAGGTTTGTCAAAAAGTATGAATTTTGCTCAAGAGTAAAGTACCTTTATTTTCGACAATATCTAAAATTGTTATTAAGAAAAGTTGATTAGAATTGAAAACTACGTTTAAATGTCTAATTACAGCTATCTACGATAAAAACCAGGTTTTATTATTGTTTACAATTTCTTTAAGATCGAAAATGATCAAAAACTTGGTATCTAAATTATTGACCTGTACAAAATCAAGTTGCTGTGGAAATGTTTTGAAACATATCTTATGTCAGTATGCTTCAAAACCTCAGTTTGTAATAATTGTACTTTTTTAAATACTAGTAAAAATGCCGTTGAAATTAAGTCTTGAAGAGAAAATTGAAATTGTTTTAATTGTTGGAGATAACTACAAAACTTATAGGGAAGCTGCCATAATCTTTAATAACAGACATCCTGATAAAAATGTACATTTTGCAACAGTAAGTAAAATAATAAAAAAGTTCAAGTGTTCCGGAAATGTTGAGAATAAATTCAAAAAGAAACATGAGGCATGGGTTGCTACTGAAGAAATTCAAAATCAAGTAATGCTCTCAGCAATAGAAAATCCTAAAGATTCCATAAGAAAAAGGGCAGCTTTACTTGGTGTGCGCAAAGACGTAGTTGCAGGAATATTAAAAGCAAACAAATTTAAACCTTACAAACCCCAGTTCACTCATACCCTAAAAGCAGGAGATTTTAATAGAAGATTTGAATTTTGTGCTTGGTTCCAAGGGGAGTTAGAAGATAATAATTATATGGCACGGTGCATAATTTTTTCGGACGAGGCAACGTTCACTTCTAATGGGGTAGTCAGCTCACAAAATTGCCGTTGGTGGAGTGATGTTAATCCTAATTTCACTGTCCAAACTCGTGACCAATACTGTTTTAAAACAAATGTATGGTGTGGAATTTTTAAAGATAGAATAATTGGACCATTTTTTTTTTGGAACTAATATGAATGCTGAACGTTATCTGGAATTTTTAAATAATGAGATTCTTGAATTTCTTCATAACCTACCAATAATGGAAAGGCAACGTACATGGTACCAACATGATGGAGCAACCTGCCATAGTACAAGAAATGTTCGAGAATGTCTTCTACAAATTTTTAACGGAAGAGTAATTGGAAGATTTGTGGACTTTGCTTGGCCTCCAAGATCTCCGGACCTGACCCCCCTAGACTTCTTTTTATGGGGATACTTGAAGCAAAAGGTATACCTTAAAAGACCGTTTGAAAATATTAATCATTTGGAAAGAATAATTAGGGAAACATGTGACGGTGTTACTCCAGATGTTATTAGAAATGCAATAAAAGAATTCTCTCGAAGAACAATTACCTGCTTAGAAAGGGACGGTGGATATGTTGAGGCGTACGTGCAGTGAGGGAAAAGTTAATCCGGATTCTTCTTTTTCATGCATGTAATGTTTGATGTTGTGTTTTGAAAATAAATGATTTTAATTATGTATGCATTTGTTTACATTGTATTATTGATAACTCGTGCAAAACAAAGTCAATATTTATAGCAAAATTTGCAATGAGAAAATGAGTGGTGTAATCAGTAAGTGCACATGAACATAATTTTTAATTTCTATCGATATCTGAGGTTTTGAAGCATACTGACATAAGATATGTTTCAAAACATTTCCACAGCAACTTGATTTTGTACAGGTCAATAATTTAGATACCTAGTTTTTGATCATTTTCGATCTTAAAGAAATTGTAAACAATAATAAAACCTGGTTTTTATCGTAGATAGCTGTAATTAGACATTTAAACGTAGTTTTCAATTCTAATCAACTTTTCTTAATAACAATTTTAGATATTGTCGAAAATAAAGGTACTTTACTCTTGAGCAAAATTCATACTTTTTGACAAACCTCGTATACGATTGGAAAATTTCGATATCTGATTATCGTATATTGGGTTTTAGGCCTTACAGAACTTTTTATGAAGAATGACGTTTTTTCCTAAACTTAATAATAAAAAAGTTTCCCATTTGTTGCCAACTTTTTCAGACACACTGTACATAAGTGCTCAGGCAGATTTGTTAATAAAACAAGCGAATTTAACCCTAGAGCAAGTAAAACCTGTAAAACTTCATTGTTTACATTTTTATAATGAACTATGTGATCAATTTAAGCAAAGATTTTACTTCTACGATCCAGTTTTAACTTCGCTAAAAATTTTAGATCCCACCACAGCACTTTCTGGGGAAATAGAATCAATAGTAGATTTTAAAATATACTTTCCGGATTTAGTAGATGATACAGAAAGTTTGAACGATGAATGGCGAATGCTTAGTAGCACTCAAGAACTTGAGAAATATCAAGAAACCCCTGTTGAATTTTGGACCAATGTTTTCGACTTAAAAAATTGTTTAAATCAGCAGTTATTTCCAAAGTTAAGTAAACTTGTTTCAGCACTTTTGTCACTGCCTCATGCATCTGCCGCTGCAGAACGAATTTCTTCCCAATTAAATTTAATCAAAAACAAATTAAGGAATCGGTTAAGTGTGAAAACCTGCAATGCACTGAATTTCACTAAGCAATTGCTTGGCAAAAACCAGTGTTACACATTTAATCCAAGTGAAGAATTATTAAGCTACAATGTTAATGCAAATGAGGAGGGTGTAAGTGATGAAAACTTGACATTCTAAAAAAAAATTGTAATATGTAGCACATATTGGTACCTACTTTCATAGGTTTATTTTTGTTTCTTCAAGTTTAAAACGTTGGCACAATATTTCAGTATTTCAAGAGAAAATTCGAAAGGCCCCCTAATAGTTACATTTTAGTTTTAAAACAGTGTAAAGTGTGTAAACATAACCTTGTATGTTATTGTTAATGTTGTTAATTTTTTTTAAGGAAGTGACTATTCATCCGGGAGTACCGGATAAAGAGCTCCATTACTAATTGTCCGAAACCATTTTCCGAAATTGACAGGGCTTAGGACATAACCTAAATGTATTATTTAAAATTTTAACACAAATAGATTTTGAGCAACTCGCTGGGAATTATAAACTTGAAAGTTTTAAATCTCGAGTTAATAAAAACGAGCTCCAAATCTGTCTTCTTAACCTCAATATAAGTATCAATTTATTAGATACATTAGTTTAGTTTTTTTCCTAACACTGATTGTTTTTTATTTATAGTATTATTTAAATTAAATTTAGGAAATAATTGTACAATAATTAGGGTTGCCATATGGACAATGTGTAAAAGTAGGACAATTGTACAAAAAAAGCCTGATTTTTCACAAAAATAGTTTCTTTACTATGAATTTACACAGGAATATAAAATTTTTAGCTTCTAAAAAAAAAAACAAAAAAAAGTCCTTTTACCGAGCTTCTAACAAAAAAAGGCCTCAGCCAAGCAAAGACAAAAAAGAAGGACATCGCCAAACATTTGGGAAAATAATTTAACAATTTTTCCTACATTGGAAACAGCCGGACATTAACAAATTGTCAAAAAAGGAGGAATGTGCTACTCTGTGGTGGACTTTTGGATATAAGTTCAATAAATGACATTTTTTGTTTTAATAATAAACTGTTTTGACAATGTAGATTATTTTATGACCAAAACAATATCTGTACTTATATTATGCAATATATTCAAATAAAAACAGGGTAGGTATGTACAAAATACATATTTAAAGTACATAGCTATTCTGATTCTATTATTTTTTTGTTTCTTTTCCTTTTCATTCCTATGACTGTGGTATCAGCTCCTTTTGGTCGACCAATTCTTTTCATTTTAAGTGCGTTTACGTTTATATTTTTCAATTCCATTAATGGCTCTTCTTTTTCTTCTAAATTTTGGCATGACTCTTTACAATAGTTGTGTTCTACATAAATACCTTTATCTAGGCCTATTGAATCTACATCCATCTTATAAGATGCAACAAAATTTCCAGTATCTAAAATTTTGGAGCTTTGTGCAACAGAACTTTCAGTTGCCTCACGTGATGACTCATTCATATCAGTATCACTTACATTGTCAATAACTAAGATTTTTTTTCTATTCTGTACATATGTACGAAAAAGCTTGAACTGTTCAAATACGTCATTGAAATCATTGGTGCCATATTCTGAAAGAAAACTTGCAATTTCTTCACCTACTTTCATTGTTTTCTTGTATTTTTCATGGCCAGATAATATATGCTTTTGTGAAGTTACTATCTGGTGTATTTCTATTTCTGAAGTATTGGTTGTTTCGCTAAAAGATGACTGTTGAGTTGAACGTATTTGATTCTCTATATAATATCTTCTAGTAAATT